AGCTATTCGGCTTCATCAGTCTACTACTTGGCAATGTCTGGGGCGCTGGCGTTAGGAACGCAAGAAATTGCTGCTTTAGTTTTATTTCTTTAGTATGAAATTGAATATAGCATTACTTTTTAGTTATTCTCTTAAGTGAGTTGAAGGAAAATAACACCAATAGTGTTCTATGCTGCAAGCCCTACAGCGCATTGTCTTCTTCCTCTAGAGTTCTTAGTGCTCGCCTAGCCCCAAATTTTTCTTTTTGTGCATACTTGTCTTTTCTTCTTTCTTCCCTGTTTTCAACTGTATTTTTCAGAGAAAGTTTAATTTGTTTCTAACAGACGCATTACTAACGTGCTCAGGCTTCCAACACTCGCACGGATGGCCGAGTGGTCTAAGGCGCCAGACTCAAGTTCTGGTGGACGTACGTCCGCGTGGGTTCAAATCCCACTTCGTGCACTTCTTTATTATATGTATATATATACATATATATGTGTTTATATATATGTATACATTATTGTATGCATATATCTACATATATGCGTACAAATATGTATATATTATATGTATATATATGTGTATATTATAGATAATATATATGTTGTGTATGTATATGTATATATTATATGCTATATATGTATATTATATATAATATATAAGCTTGTCTCTATTTTGCTTTACATAACACAGCTTAGACCTGCATTTAATGCCATGAACAAACCCCTTTCCTTTACTTTCCTTCACAATCAGCTAATTCAACTTCTAGAAGAATGACTTTGGAGGTCCGTCTGTATAAGACCATTAGGTGTATCTACATGAGGGGGAAAATAATAAACAAAAGATTCTGTAAGGAACGGCGCGGGATGCCTTTAGACAGCTCAGTGTATATACCTTTAGAAAGGAGTTCCCCTCTCGTTAGGCACTTGGGGGCTAATAAAACAACCAAGCAAACAACACAACAACTAAACAACAAAACAAAGACGAAAATGCACGAAGCATGCAACTGGCTGTCTCTTAAACTAGAACTCCTATCTGCGGTTTAGGGTTTCGGGTTGTCGTTAGGGTTTAGGGTTTAGCGGTGGCGCTAAAGCATGGGGTTTAGGGGTGGCTTTAGCGCTTAGGGTTTGGGGCTGTCTTTAGGGATTAGGGGTATCTCTAGGGTTTAAGGTAGTCCTCAGTGTTTAGGGCTGTCTTTACGGTTTTGGGTGTAAGGTTGTCTTTGGAGGTTACGGTTTAAGGTTCTCTAGGGTTTAGGGTTGCCGTTGGTGTTTAGGGTTTACAGTTGTCTAGGGTTTAGGGTTTACGGTGGTTGCCTTTGGCGTCCAGGGTTTACAGCTGTCTAGGGTTTAGGATTTAGGGTTGTCTCTGTACCTAACGACAACACTCTTCTATAAAATAAATAAAGGGTCCCTCCGCCACCTATGAAGGGGAATACGAGGGGGGGTTCGTCTATATGGAGTTTCTGTGCATGCATTTTAAATAAACAAACCAATATATATATATATATATATGGCGCTGAGGATGTGCATGCTGCATGCAAAGGAGGTTGTTTTTTTTGTTTGAGTGTACATCAAAACAAACTCTAAACTCCGCAGAAAGAAGACAAAGCAGCATTGGTGTATGCAGCAGGAGGCAGCAAAGGGGCCCCCCTCCTCCTCTCCTCTTCAAACAAGACAGAGTAAATAAACCCTCTCTAAACCCTCTTCTTCTCCTTATTAAGTTGTCTCTTGCTATTAACTCGTGCTCTCGTCAGCATTCTTGGAGAGACAAAGACGTGGGGCCTCCCAAGTTTGTTGCGGAAGAAGTCTTCGGGGCCCCAGGGGCCCCCGGGGCCCCGTGCATTAGGTAGGGGCCTTCCTTTTGCATTCATTTCTGCTGCCACTGCCTCCTCAGCAGCAGCACGCAGCTGCTGCAAGTTTAAAGACGGAATAAGTGGTCGGTGCAGCCACTCGGGGAGTTGTGCTGCTTTTTCTTCTGTGGGTTTTCTTTTGAGGGCCCTCTTTAATGCTTGCCTTCCCTCTTTTATGGCTGCAGCAAATGCAGCATTTGCTGCTGCTGCTGCTGCTGCGCCTCCGCCTCCTCCTCCTGTCGTCACTCCTGTTGCTGCTCTTCCTTCCGCAGCTGCTGCTCCCGTTTCTCCTCCTTCTGCTGCTCCTTCTGCTGTTGCTGCTGCTGCTGTTGCTGCTGCTGCTGCTGCAGGGAGGGCTGCGTCGTCTGTGAGTTCTGCTGCTTTCCCTGGGTACGGGATTGCTTGTAAAGGACAGGGATCTATAAGAAAGGAAGAAGGAAACATGCAGTGAAAGGCAGATGGGCTTGGGGCTGCATGCAGATGAAGCCGTCTATAGGGCCCCGGTAGGAGCGCGCTGCTACTGGGGGGCAGCACCGCTAGAAGCTGCTGATAGGGCGAGATAGGTTGCGAGTGAGGGAGGGTAATGTGCAGCTTTGCTGCTTTAAGGGCCCCCAAATCAGAGGCTAGCGGCGCATAGTTATAAGGGTACTCCCACGACCAAGAGGGGGCCCCACTGTGGTAGTAATGCAGCAAAAAAAACAATCCTGATATATACTTCACGCACAACTCGTGCCGAAACACCCCAAAAGGAACTCCAGAAAGACGCTCGGGGCCCCCGGGGGCCCCAGGGGCCCCCAGGGCCCCCCCTCGTTTCTCTCCTGCGGCTGCCGCAGAGGAGGAAGAGGCAGCAGCAGCAGCAGAAGCAGCAGCAGCTTCTGCTGCTGCTAGATCACGCAGGGGAAATTTCGCCGCGTAGTACTCCGCAGCATAGGCTGGTTGAAGGGGCCCCGGGGGCCCCTCTGCCTCGAAGTGGGGCCCCTCTTGTTCAGCAAGAAGAGAGAAGAAACGAATAAGTCGAGGTAAGTGAATCTGGGTCTTACGAGTCAGGGGGCCCCCCAACCACGGTAGGGCCCTCGTATACACCTGAAGCAACAACGAAAACCCTCCCGAATAAATATTTATATTAGGTAAAGCAGGCAAAAAATCATTCCCTACAAAAAACGATAGCAGCACAAAGTCATCCACCAAACGGCTCGCATCCAAGCCCCGTATCAAAGGCATCACAGGGGGCCCCAGGGGCCCCCCGGCAAGGGGCCCCCCTAAGGGGCCCCCAAGGGGCCCCCCTAGGGGCCCCAAGAGAGGGGGGCCCCCTACAAGAGAAACCCCTTTTAAACCCTCGATGTTAGCAGCTAAAGTTGAGAGCTTCTTGGATGATCCCATAGGCGAGGCAGCAGCAGCAGGGCCGCGGTTTGCTGCTGTTGCTGCTGCTGCTGCTGCTGCTGCTACTGCTGCTGGAGTTGCTGCTTCGTTTGCTGCTGCAGTGGCTAATGAGCGCACCAACTGGCGCCTCAGGGTGTCTATACACACTACCTCAAAGTCTTTCGCCGTATAACGCAGGAAATCTCCCGAAGCAGGCAGCAGCAAACCATCCAGTAATTGCTGCTGCTGCTGCTGCTGTTGCTGCTCTTCTTGCTGCTGCTGCTGCTGCTGTTGCTGCTCTTCTTGCTGCTGCTGCTGCTGCTGTTTCTTTCTCCCTTTACCCTTGCCTTTCGCACTCTGTTCACCAAGTTGCAGGAGCTGCTGCTCCTCTTTCTGCTGCTGTTGTTGTTGTTGCTGCTGCTGCTGTTCTTGCAGAGCCTCATGAATGCGGAGCAGCATTTTTCTTGTTGCTGCAGCTCTAGTGCCGCAGATAGACTTTTGTTTTTCTCTTAATATTAAAAGCCCTGGCCGTTGCCTCGCCAGCGCTAAGACTAATAAATCAGCATCCAAGCCATACAAACAGATGCGCCCAGGAAGAGGGATCAGCAACTCAGAAGAAACCTGTTGCGGCTGTTGCTGCTGCTGCTGTTGCTGCTGCTGCTGTTGCTGCTGCTGCTGTTGCTGCTGCTCGCTTGGAGATTCATCTGGTGCGGCTTCGGGTGGGGAGTGAGTTGGGGCCCCCTTTGCTGCTGCTCTCGTGGGCGACGACGAACTCTTTGCTGCTGCTGTTGCTGCTGCTGCTGCTGCTGCTGCAGGATTTCCCTCTTCACAGTCTTCGAAAGATGGGGGAAGCAGCAAACGAAACCTTGTGCCTGCCTCTCTGTTTCTGTGCGGTTGCCGCATGTGCTGCTGCTGCTGCTGCTGCTGCTGCTGCTGCACCTCGCTGCTCCAGGCCTCCCCTAGGGCAGCACTGTGGGGCCCCCAGGAGCCCCTTGTGAGCAACTGCATCAATTTATGCTCCCCTTCCCCTGGCACATCAGCGCCGCTAAGCAAGACGGAGTGCATGCAGCCCCAAACTCTGCTGCTTCTTTGCTTATGAGAGATAAATCGCTTTAAGGCTGCCTCTGCAACAAACATAAAACGGGTGCCGGGGCCAATGCTGTTAATGTCAAACTTGTCGTCGTCGTCGTCTGCTGCTGCTGCTGCTTCTCCTGCTGTGGGTGTCGTTGCTGTTGCTGCTGCTGCTGCTGCTGCTGGTGCTTCTCGATTTTCACTGGGCGCAGCGGTTGCTGCTTCATCCGTTGCCGCAGCATCTGTATCTGCCTGGATTAGTCCCTGCTGCTGCTGCTGCTGCTGCTGCTCCCGCTGCTGCCTGAAGCGGCGGCCGCGCTGCTGCGCCAGCTTTGCTGCTGGGGGTACACCATCAATTGTAATGCAGAGAAGAGAGCGGGGCCTCACGAGTCTCACAAGTAAGTCAAGGTAAGACAGCACTCGCTGCAGCAGCAGCGGCTGGTGCTGCTGCAGCAGCAGCGGCTGCAGCAGCTGCTGCTGCTCCTGCTGCAGCAAACTCAGCGCAGGAGGAGAACTGGGCAGGTGCCCATGAATGCACAGATGCATCAGAGCGTTGAAATCAATCAGCAAGGCGTCAATCGGCACTTGCTGCTGCTGCTGCTGCTGCGGATCGTCTCGGTTGAGCTGCAGCAAACTGAAGGACTTCGCTGCTGCTGCTTCTGCTGCTGCGCCATTCGCCCCTTGAAACTGCTTCAGCAGCAACTCATCCTCCTTGAGGAGCTGCTGCAGCATGCGCTCCTTGGCGGTGTCTTTAGAAGTGCTGCTGCCGCTGCTGCTGCTGCTGCTGCTGCTAGGCTGTGCTGCTTTTCGCCAAACATATTTCTGCAGCGGCTGCACACAGGTAGGGAATTGATTGCAAAGCCAGCGGTAGAAGTGAGGGATGCCTTTTGCTGCTGTGCTGCTGCTGCTGCTGTTGCTGCTGCTGCTGCTGCGGTTCATCGTATACCCCCAGCATGGGCGAGGCCATGGGCAGTAGACGCCTGTCCTGCTGCGGCTACTGCTGCTGCTGCTGTTGTTTCTGCTTCTAATGCACTCAGCAACAGCAGCAACAGCAGCAGCAGATTGATGCACCTGGAAGCCAAGGGGCCCCCATTGAATGCAGGGGAGCTGCTGAGGGAGTCGCGTGTGGGGGGGGCCCCCATTAGGGGCCCCCCTATGGGGGGCCCCCTGAGTTGGTGTTGGCTGCTGCAGCTGCAGCAGCTGCTGCTTGCTCGTGTATAGAGGGGCCCCCATGCATACTCGCCAGGTTTAGGGGGCCCCCACCCGTGTTGAGGGCCCCATAGGTGTTTGCTTATTGAAAGGAAGCAAATAATAAAATAAAATGAACAAGATTATTAAATAAATAAATAAAAATATATAAATATAATTATTAAAAGACAATAAGCTGCAAAGAAAGAAGAAGAACAAACTCCTTCAATTGTTTGTTTTGCTGCTGAGCCCCTCTTGTAGCTGCCAGCATCACTTTGTTGTTTTTATTTGATTAATTATATTATTTTTAAATATATTTAATTTAATTTATTTAAATATAAATTATTTATTTTATTTTATTTTATTTTATTTTTCGCTGTTCGCGCTGTTTTCTGCTGTTTCTGCTGCTCATACAGCCCCAGCAGGAGGGGCCCCCCCCTTGTCTTTTATAAATATTTATATATATATAATATATATATATGATATTATGTATATGATATAATAATAATATAATATATGTGCATATTTTATATTTATTCATAGCCTTTTTTGCATCTTCTTTTTTCTTTATTTGCATTGATGTGCATTTGTTTGTATATTTGTTTGTATTTATTTTTATGTTTGTTTATATTAATACTCGTCTTTGTTTGTATATTTGAATATATATTTATATCTGTCTTTTTTCGCATTTATATTTGTTTAGATTTATGTCTTTGTTTGTATTTATATTTGTTTATATTTATATCTGTCTTTGTTTATTTTATATGTTTGTTTGTTTGCATTTGTTTGTTTTTTCTGTATTTATGTTCGTTTATATCTATATTTATATTCTTTTATATTTGTTTATTCGTTTTGTTTGTGCTTGTAATTATATTTGTCTTTATTTGTTTTTGTTCGTATTTATATTTATGTTTAATTATTTCTTTTTGTATTTGTTTGTATATACAGTCATTCTTATTCATATTTGTTTGCAGCTTTATTCTATTCGTTTGTCTTTACCAGCAACTATATATATTTGTGTATATTTTTATTTTAATTTGATTTATTTACTTGTCTCTACTTTTTTAATTGCATTTTTCTGTATTTGTTTGAGGGCGGCTGAAGGCGAGAAGAGGGTTTTATACAAATTGTAATTAAAAGTTTTTTTCTATTTCCTCTGCATGCAGCAGTAAGGGTTTGCTGCTCCTTTTTCTCAGGTGCAGCAGCAAGAAGCAGCAGCAAGCAGCAGCAAGAAGCAGCAAGAAGCAGCAACAAGGAGCAGCAGCAAGCAGCTGCAGAAAGTAGCAGCAAAAAGCAGCAGCAAAAAGCAGCAGGAAGAAGCAGCAGCAAAAAGCAACAGGAAGAAGCAATGGTCAGCAACACACAGCAGCAGTCGTTGCTGCAGCTGTTGCTGTGCGGCAGCAGAACCATGGCAGTAAACCCTAAACCCTAAACCCGAAAACTCTAAACCCTAAACCCTAAACCCTAACCTCTAAACTTTAAGCAAAACTATGAGACCCCAAAGCAGCTGTTACACACCATCCACCCCAACCTCTCCCAGGCGCTTAACCCTAAACCCTAAACCCTAAACCCCAAACCTCAAACCCCAAACCCTAAACCCCAAACCCTAAACCCCAAACCCTAAAGCCGCTTGTGGGCTGTACACTGCCGAACTTACCTCCGGAATGCATGCATGCATGCCTATGCTTTACTACAACTCAGCTAGTTTATACCTGCATGTATACATGCATGCACGCATGCATGCACTTGAGCCCAATTAGAGATATATGCCAAGTGCATGCAAGCATGCATTTGCATCAAGGAGGGGAGCTGAATGCATGCATGCATGCATGCATGCATTCAGCTCCCTATTTTTAATGCATGCATGCATGCATTCAGCTCCCTACTTTTAATGCATGCATGCATGCATTCATTCAGCGGTGTGTAATGTACGCTGCATGCAAATTGCTTATTGAAGGTAGTCTCCCCAGCATCAGTAGAAGCAGCGGCACATGGATCTGCTCCTGCTGCCTTAACTCATGTCCTTCAAACCCTAAACCCTAAATCGTAAACCCTAAACCCTAGGCCGTAAACACTAAGCCCTAAACCCTAAACCCGAAGAGGCTCCCTCTGAATATTTCACATATTCTTCAAGGCCCCTCCAGGTTTATTTATACCTTTATAAAGGTAAGAAGAAACAAAATAAGAAAAACTAGCGATAGCACTATATATACATATATGCATGCATGCATGCATGCATGCATGTATATATATATGTATACACTCAAACCCTCCTCAGCCTGCTTTTCTTCAGCTATTAATTTTCTAACTAAGTTTTGTTTTATATTTAATTTATTTCTTTATTTTTATATATATATTTTGTTATTTTCTTTATTTATTTCTCGTGTTTTACCTCGGGGTTGCTGCACTGCTCAGCACGCCGCACCCCCCTGGGGGCCCCCAGAGGCCTTAGGGGGCCCCTATAGAAGCGGAGTTTTTATCTGTTTGTTTGGCTTTTAATCAGTTTATTCTTTAATAATCAATAAAATTCTTTTTTTTGTTTATCTTAGAGAGCGTACAGACAACAGAAACCAAACAACAACAGCAACAGAGGCGGCAGCAGCAGCACGAGCAGCAGCAGCAGCACGAGTAGCAGCAGCAGCTACAACAACAGCAACAAAGCACTAGTGCCACCGGTAGGAACAGCAGCAGCAGCAGCAGCAGCGTCTGCCGCAGCAGCAGCAGCAGCAGCAGCCTTCAGCTGTTTCTGCTTTTTGAATAAGGCCTTTGGGGCCCCCACCACACCTCAGCTACCACTTATTTATTGTTTTGTTTGTTCTTCCTTTTCTTCCTCTTTGTCTTTCTTTTTAATTCATTTACACCTCTATTTCTGTTTTTAATACCCTCTAGGGGCCCCCTGAGACCTGGGGGCCCCCTGCAGCTGCTGCACTATGAGCTTCTCTTTCTCCTTGAAGAAGTCTTCTGCTGCTAAGCCTGCAGCTGCTGCAGCAGCAGGAGGAGCAGCAAAAGCAGCAGGAACAGCAGCAGCAGCAGCAGCAGCAGGAGCAGGAGGAGTGCGCGCCCCTCTCGCTATATTTCAAAAGGCTCTGGAGGAAGAAGAGAGAGCAGCAGCAGAGCAGCAGCAACAAACAGCTGCTCCCAGGCTATCTCTCTCTCATTTTTCTCGCTCAATAAATAAACATGAGAAACAAAAAGTAGAAGAGTTGCTGCAACAAGACCCCAACACCTTTGCTTATGATGCGGTGTATGAACAGATTAGCAGCACACCAGCAAAAGAGCAGCAGCAGCATTCTCAAACTCATCGTACATACCTTGGCTATACAAAAGATATACAAGACAAAATACACAAAGATGCGCAAACAGCAGACATCTTAGCAGCACAAGCAGACCAAGTGTCTCCGCAGGGGCCCCCTACCTCTTCTAGGCCTTCTGTTGTATACGGATTATCCCCAGGGCCCAGAGGGGGGCCCCCAGGGGGGCCCCCAGGGGAAGGGGGCCCCCCAGGGGGCCCCTCTGAGGGGCCTCGACGGGGCCCCCCTCCTCGTTTTATAGGGAAGCTGGTATTGCAAGCTCAAAGGAGACAGCTGGAGAGAGAAATAATACAAGAGAGACAGCAGCAAAAAGAGAGAGATAAAGAAGGAGGTGCAGCAGAGGAGGTGTTTGTAACAGGTGCTTATAAAGCAAGATTAGAAGAAAGACAGAAAATCCTTGAAGAATTAGAGAGACAAGATAAGATAGATGAAGAGAGAGCAGCACATAAACAGAAAGACCTCTCTTCTTTTCATTCTTATCTCCTCAAATCAGGTGCTGCAACGCGCAGTGCTGCAGCTATCAGCCCCGCCCCACCACCTGCTGCTGCTCCTGCTGCTGGTGGTGCTGCAGCAGCAGCAGCACACGCTGCTGCAGCACCTAAGCAGACAAAGGCAGAAGTAGTAGCAGCTGCAGCAGCAGGAGCTGCAGCAGCAGCAGCGGCGAAATCCGAAGGCGCAACACTGTCTCAGCAGCAACAGCAGCAGCAGCAGCAACAGCAGCAGCAGCAGCAGCAGCAGCAGCAACAGGAGACGGGCCCAATAAAAACAGAGGGATCTCTCCCTGGCGCCGTCTGCCCCAGCCCCAGCAGCAGCCCCAGCCCCAGCAGCAGCAGCAGCAGCAGCAGCAGCAGCAGCAGCAGCAATGTGAGCCCCGTAACAAAGGAGATGGTAGTGCCTTATAAAAAGAGGTCTGCGGAGGTCAAGACTGTCTCCGTCCCCTCTAAACTGTCTCCTTCTCAGGTAGCAGAGGCGAGGGCTAGATTTATAAAAAGAAAGAAGTGCAAACAAGAAGAGTAATAAACAACAAATTATGCGTCTGCTCTTACTAAGCGGTACTTTCTTTCACGCGGAACTGCAGGTGAATATAATATTATTTATATTTTAATTATATAAAATATAATATATAAATGTATATATATATATATTCAGTATATTGTATAATATATATGCATCATATATATTTAATGTTCAATGTGTATATTATATATTTTATATATAAGGTATAATATATATAATAGGCTGAATATCATATATTATACATATGCGTCATATATATATATATATACGAGTGTCTAGAGGCCGAGTGTATGAACAGCGGCACCAAGTTAGAGGAGACAGACAGGTCAGCTGTCTCCTCCATTTGTGTTTATCTTCTTCACTCTTTTCTGCACTCTCCTTTCTATTTAGAAAGAGACCCTTGGCTTTAACGCTTAGTAAGGGTTAGGGTTTAGGGTTTAGGGTTTAGGGTTTGGTGTACAGCTCCTCGTCCTGGCACCGGATACCTTTTAAAAGTAAAGAGTTATAAATTTATAGCGAGTATAAACAGAAACAGAACATGTACGGGCGCCTGATCTCTATAGCTGTACATACACCTGAGCTGGTGCTGTGCAGCCTGCACTCTATCAGTGATAAGAGGAACGAAGGAATGAAGAGATATAATAAAGTAAATAACTAGATAGGGTTTGGTGTACAGCTCCTCGTCCTGGCACCGGATACCTTTTAAAAGTAAAGAGTTATAAATTTATAGTGAGTATAAACAGAAACAAAACATGTACGGGCGCCTGATCTCTATAGCTGTACATACACCTGAGCTGGTGCTGTGCAGCTTGCACTCTATCAGTGATAAGAGGAACGAAGGAATGAAGAGATATAATAAAGTAAATAACTAGATATACATGAATATACATATACAAATAAATATTAACAATACACATTAGGCGATCAGCAAGGAGGAATTTATCTCTTAGGTGGGTCTATTGAAAAGGCACAGAAAACAGGGTCTTATAACACATCATGTAGTTATATATCTTTTTATAAGAAGAAAAAAAGAAGAAAAACAAGAAAAAAGAGAAAAAGGGAGGCCTTGAATGTGTGCCGATCTTCTGTTGCAGCATTTGAGGTTTGTTTGTTTGCTTTATTCTTTCTTTTTTCTTTTAGAATGCTTAAAAGGATAAAAAGCAGAAAATAAAGAATTAAATTTATTATTTGTTAAAGGAATTACAAAATGATGCTTTCGTCCAGAAGCTGCTGCACTCATCTGGAGTGTATATACACCTGAGCGCCTCTCTGTCTGTTTTGCTGAAGGTTTTGTAAAAAAAGAAGAAAAACAAGAAAAAAGAGAAAAAGGGAGGCCTTGAATGTGTGCCGATCTTCTGTTGCAGCATTTGAGGTTTGTTTGTTTGCTTTATTCTTTCTTTTTTCTTTTAGAATGCTTAAAAGGATAAAAAGCAGAAAATAAAGAATTAAATTTATTATTTGTTAAAGGAATTACAAAATGATGCTTTCGTCCAGAAGCTGCTGCACTCATCTGGAGTGTATATACACCTGAGCGCCTCTCTGTCTGTTTTGCTGAAGGTTTTGTGAAGGATTAGGGCTAGTTTTGTTTTATTTTTTCCGTAGGATTTGAATAAAGTGGTATTAAATGCCATTTTCCACTTTTAATTATCGAAAAACTCGCAAAAACAAGCAGCTTCCCTCCATGACCAGTGGACATACACCGCAGCTTGCTAGCGCGGCTGTTAGGGGAGCGATTGCTGCAGCAGTTTTTAAGGGTATATCAGAAGAAAAACAATTATTGTTCTTATTGTCATTAGTTCTTTTAGTGTGTATGTGGCTTTATTGATTTGAAGGGGGATAATTTCTCTCTTCCTTTTCCTCTGCCCTCTCCCGCCTGGAAGATCTATTCTCATACAACAGCTGGTGCACTCTTCGTTTATTTCAGCAATTATTTTAAGTGTTCGCAGCACCTTGTCTCTGTTTTATTATTTCTTGGCGTCATTTAGACAGCAGGAGCTCCTCCCTCCTCCCCGACGCTCCCCTACCGAGTCTTCGTTAGGGTTCAGGGTTCAGGGTTCAGGGTTTAGGGTTTAGGGTTTAGGGTTTTCTAGTTTGTATGATTAGGAACTCAGGCAGTTGTGGTTAAGCTGCATTATATTGTCCTTGGGTTTGATGGGAGCCGCAAGGAGGCGTGAGTCTCCAAAGTCTCTGTCTTTGTTTGTTTTTTCTGTTGTCTTCGTTACTTTTCTTCTTTCTTTCTCAATAGCAATTGCAACAACATTGTAAATAAAACTTTGAAAAGATGAATCCTGCAGCAGCAAGACCTGGAGCAGCACCTCTTAAGGGGGAGCAGCAGCCTGAGCCGGGGTCTCCAGCAGCAACAGCAACACCAGCAGGTGCTGCATCAACACCACCACCAGCGGCAACAACAGCAGCAACGGCAGCAGCAGCTGCTGCAGCAGCAGCAGTTGTAACAGCAGCAGCTGCTGCATCCCCTGGGGAGACAGCAGCACTTCTGGGGGGAGCAGCAGCAGCCCCTGAAGTGGAGATTATTCATCTTCGAGACGAAGCAGATAAGCAGTATTTATTGAATTACGTATCGAAGGTGTATGCACAGAAGCTGTGTAGTTTAAAGAAGGCGTGGGCGAGTGATGCAGCAGCAGCAGCATCAGCAGCAGCAGCAGGAGGAGCAGCAGCAGCAGAAGAAGAAGACCGAGTGTACGTGCAGCAGGTGCAGCAGCAACCGAGGCCTCTGCATGCAAATCGCTTTGTTCTTTTAACTTTATATCTTCTTGCTGTATTTCTAAGGGGCTGCACTTATTGGGGCTGGAATGGCATTCAAGATTTATTATATAAGTCTGGGGCTTATGCTTGGCTTTGTAAGAGTGACGGGGGTCTTTCGAGTGTACAGGCAGTTGGTTCTGAGGTGTATATTGATTGCTCTGCTCGTAAAAATGCAATAAACAATTTATACACTGCAGCATTCGCATCAAACTTTATATTTTCAGCTGCTGGGGGTCTCTTACTAGACAGGGTTGGTCCTAAGATAACTCTTCTGTTTGCTATATTACTAGATGCATTAGGGTGGAGTTTATTTGCTGCTGCTTCTGCTTCATTTGAAGTGTATATACCTGCATTTATCTGTATAGGCATGGCTGCAGACCCGGGGTTCTTTTCTCTTCTATGCATTGCGAACTTCTTCCCGAAGTATGAAAGCACAGTAGTTAGTATAATGGGTGCATTTCGTTCTTTATCTTTTGCTGTCCCTGTGATAATGTCTCAAATATTTAAATCCAGTGTATATACACCTGAAAGCTTGTGGAGAATACTTGTTGTTTATATAGCTGCAGGGCTAGGGGGTATATGCTTATTTGTTTGTTTATTCTTTGCTCCTTGGCGTTCATTCTTAGCCCTCGAAGACTTTAAAACAAAAGATAAACAGATGCAAATACAAAACGCAAAAAAGCAAATACTTGCTGAATTACCTCCTACATTCTTCGATCGCTGGACCCTTAGTACGAGCAGCAGCAACAACAGCAACGACAACAGCAACAGCAACAGCAACAGCAGCAGCAGCAGCAGGGGGCATCCGTATAAGTTGCTGCTGACTGAGGAGGAGTTCAGCGAAGTAGCAGCAGCAATGGAAGCAGTAGAGCATCAACAGCAGCAGCAGCAAGATAGAGAAGATGATATACATAGAGAAGGAAGTGCTGGTGAAGTTGCTGCTGAAGACGATGGCGGTGCTTCTGCTTCTGCTGCTGCTGCTGCTAATAAAGGGCTTTCTTATTACATTAGAGATACTCGGTTTATGCTGCTGCTTCCTATGTTTGTCGTAAACTTACTGAGGATAGAGTTTTTTACAAAGTCTAACAAAGAGCAGCTAGCTGTTCCAGACGGTAGAAATTTATATGCTTTTTTCTCCATAATGAACATTCTTTCTTTTTTACCGGGGCCTGTAATGGGTATATTAAGCGATATGTTTGGAGTTGTCTCTGTCTTGTTTTTTATTAATGCAGCTGGTGTCTTAATGTATGCAGCATTGATCCCCCTTAACATAATCTCTAAAGGCTTTGCTATCTTCTTCTTCTGGGTCTATGCTTCTTTCGTTCTCAGCAGTATATACTGCTATATTAAAGCAGCATTTCCGAGTGCTTTATTCGGAAGTCTTGCAGGCTGTGTGTCTCTGGTAGGGGGTGTATTTGCTTTAACAAGTATCGGATGGTATACGCTATCAACAGAAACATTAAAATACCTTTATCCTCATAACTTTGTCGTTGTAGACTCTTTAATGATTGCTGGGGGCTTTCTAGTTTTCTTGGTTTTGTTTGCTCTCTGGAGACAGGAGAAAAAAATTAAAAAAAAGCATCAGCTAAGTAATAAAAGAAGGCAACAGAGACAAGTGCTTCAACATCAGCAGAACTTCCCAGCATCAACCCCACAACATATTGAAGAGACTGCACGCATGCAAACGGCAGCAAATACACTGCAGGAGCAGCAACTTCAGCAGCTTCATCAGCTCCAGCAGCAGCAGCAGCAGCAACAGCAGCAGCAGCAACAGCCAGGGGGATATATTGAAGTCATAGGCAAAGAAGAATGCGTGTAAAAGGAAGCAGCAGCAAAGCCACCAAACAACAACAATAAACAGCAGCAGCAGCAGCAGCAGCATTAACAGCAGCGTCAGCTGCAGAAGTGCTAGTGCTGTTGCAACAGCAGCAGCAATAGCAACAGCAGCAGCAATAGCAACAGCAGCAGCAGCAGCAGCGGGCAACAGCAGCAGCAGCAGCAGCGGCCCGCCCCATCTAGCCGCATGCAAAGAAAAATACGCAGCGGATAATCAGCAACAAATGCAGCTCCTTATATTTATATTTATATATATATGTATATATACATATATATATTTACATTTAGATATATATTTATATATATAGATATATACATATGATTACATACATATATATTTGTATGTTTTTATATATTTATATTTATATTTAGATATGTAGATAAGTAGATATATATATTTATACATATGTTAATATATCTATATATATGTTTACATGTATATATATATATATATATATAGATACCTTATATTATATGAGTCTATTTGAAGTATGACATTTGACTGTATATACACCTCAGGAGTTTAGCTTGGCCCCAATTGTTGTGTGAATGTTTGGGGCTTTGGCATGCATTTGAGAGTTAAAGGCATTTATAATATTTCGTTTATTTATTATTCTCTCCAATGCGGGCATCTACACGCGCATGCAGCTGCTTACGGTGTACAGACACCTCTCAGGCACGCGCTGCTGCTGGTAACTGCAGCAGCAGCAGCAGCAGCAGCAGCAGTAGCAGCAGTAGCAGCAGCAGCAGCAGCAGCGGAAGTTCTGCATTTCTTTGTCTTGTGTCGCTTCACCTCCAGCAGTACAAACAAAGAGAATATGCAGCGATGATATATACACCCATCCTCTAACTATAAATCAAAAGTGCATGCAGCAGAGGCCCCACAGAGGGGCCCCCATAGCGAGGCCCCCATAGATGGGCCCCCATAGAGAGGTCCTTAAAGGGAGGGCTTTATAGAGGGCCCCTATAGAGGGGCTCCTATAGAGGGGCCCCTATAGAGGGGCTTCTATAGAGGGGTTCCTATAGAGGGGCCCTCATAGAGAGGCGTCTATAGTGGGGCCCCCATAGAAGGGCTCCTATAGAGGGGCCCCATAGAGGGGCCCCCATAGAGAGGCCCCCAAAGGGAGGGGCTTTATAGAGGGCCCCCATAGAGGAGCTCTTATAGAGTGGCCCCCATAGAGAGGCCCCCATAGAGGGGCCCACAAAGGGAGGGGCTACATAGAGGAGCCACCATAGAGAGACCTCCAAAGGGAAGGGCCACCATAGAGGGGTTCCCAAGGGGAGGGGCCCCCATAGGGGGGCCCCAATAGAGGGGCCCCCATAGAAGGGCTGCCTGTAGAGGGGCCCCCATAGAAGGGCTGCCTGTAGAGGGGCCCCCAAAGGGAGGGCCCCCAAAGAGGAGCCTCTAAAGGGAGGGCCCCCATAGAGGGGCCCCCATAGGGAGGGCCCCATAGAGGGGCCCCCATAAGGAGGGGGGCCCCCATAGAGGGGCCCCCTATGAAGGCGGGGCCCCTTGGGTACCTTATTTGATGCTTGTTGCGGGTGCATGCACTTTATAATATTTATCGAAGTCGAGACTACTGGCATTTATTTATTTCGCCTGTCTCTCTGCTTAAAGGTTATAAAAGAAGGAGCAGCAGCACTTCTTGAAAATAAAAATAACAGCACCAAACGCATGCATGCATGCAGCATGCATGCATGCATGCATGCAAAAATAATACAGATTATTTAAAGTAATAGTATTATATAGTAGTAAAATAGTAGAAGTACTATAAATAATACAGTGATGTAAAACTAAAATAATAGAATAATACTAATACTATAAACAATTATCTAATATATATATATATATATATATTATCTATATATATATATATATATATAGATACATATAAATAGTAGTACTTTAAAAAATAAACTAATATAATGCAAGAGTAATAAAACAAGAAGTAGCGGCTCTATCAGCAGCAAATACCCACATCAAAAAGTAGAGGAAAATACTGCATGCAAAAAGAAATATAGTTCTGCATGCAGCCCCAACCATTTGCTGCTGCGCTGCTGCTGCGGTGCAGCAACAGGGGTGAAGAAAATATATAAAGCGTTTATTGCTGCAGCGGATTGGCAGCAACAGCAGCATCTTTGCTGCTGCTGCTGCAACAGCAAAGAAGCAACAGCAACATCTGTGCTGCTGCTTGTGCTGCAGCAAAGTAAAAAGCAGCAGCACTTTTGCTGCTGCTGCTGCTGCTTGTGCTGCAGCCGCTGCAGCAGCAGCAACAGCAAATAGGAATATAAGTATATTTAGTGTTTATAATTGAATTTCATTGCCATAAGGTGTACATACAGATAAATGCATGCAGCCCCACATTATTGTTGTTAATGTTTAAAACAAACATAACTCAAAGAAAGTTTGTTATAAACAAACCCAACATATACACCTGAGTTTATCCCTGTCTGCTGTATGCACAGCTCCTTTAGGGTCTGTCTGTATAAAGACAATAAATACTCTTAAACAATGTGTATAAGCGTCAATAACAAACAAGGGCTATAAAACGAATGCATAAGCTGTTTAGGGTTTAGGGTTTAGGGTTTGAGTTGAGATAGCTGAAAAATTTATTTATCTTGTCTTTTTTGTTTTTCTAAGCGTGCAGCTTCTCTTTGTTCTTTCTTTCTTTGTCTTTCTTCTGCTGCTTTTCTTCTTGCTTCTGCTTCTCTTTGTTTATTTCTTCTCATTTCCTCTTCTTTATCTGCTGATGCTGTATAGCTCTCTACTAAACCCACTGTTAAATTAAACACAGGCATAGACCCTGGAGGCCTCTTAAAATCTCGCGCATCTTTGAAGAAGGGTTTATGGTTTTGGGGTTTGCTATCCACGCTGCTGCTGCTGCTGCTGCTGCTGCTGCTGCTGCCGCTGCTGCTGCTGCTGCTGCTGCTGTTGCATGCAGCCCCGAAGCTTCCTTGTTCTAGAACATATTCACAATCTGCATCTGCTGTAAAATACCCTAAGCGTTCAAACTGCAGCACACGCTGAGGAGGGAAATGCTCCTCGCATGCAGCATCGGGCTCCACAAAGCCCCGATACACCTGAACACATTTATCTTGTCTTTTTTGTTTTTCTAAGCGTGCAGCTTCTCTTTGTTCTTTCTTTCTTTGTCTTTCTTCTGCTGCTTTTCTTCTTGCTTCTGCTTCTCTTTGTTTATTTCTTCTCATTTCCTCTTCTTTATCTGCTGATGCTGTATAGCTCTCTACTAAACCCACTGTTAAATTAAACACAGGCATAGACCCTGGAGGCCTCTTAAAATCTCGCGCATCTTTGAAGAAGGGTTTATGGTTTTGGGGTTTGCTATCCACGCTGCTGCTGCTGCTGCTGCTGCTGCTGCTGCTGCCGCTGCTGCTGCTGCTGCTGCTGCTGTTGCATGCAGCCCCGAAGCTTCCTTGTTCTAGAACATATTCACAATCTGCATCTGCTGTAAAATACCCTAAGCGTTCAAACTGCAGCACACGCTGAGGAGGGAAATGCTCCTCGCATGCAGCATCGGGCTCCACAAAGCCCCGATACACCTGAACACATACAAACCCTAAACCCTAAACCCTAGTAAACCCTACTAAACCCTAAACCCTGGAGATAAATCAGGGTTTAGCGAGCAATTTCGCACTAGAAGAAACATATCTAACATTCCCTTGATGCTGCTAAACCCCAAACTCTCATAAACCCTAATAAACCCTAAACCCTAGTAAACCCTAAACCCTAAACCTTAGATAAGAACAGCGTACTGTGAGAGAATTAGGGTTTATGCATTGACGCCAGTTGCCCTCGGGTTGGTTGGGGTCTTCTTCTTCGGGTAAGGGTTTTGTAAAGAGACGATCATAGAAACGCAACTCCGCGCTGCAAACCACAAACCCTCATTTAGGGTTTAGGGTTTAGGGCTAGGAGGGTGTTGAGGCTTAGAAACCTTCGGTTACTGTGTACGATTAAGTTGTGATATATAACAAACGCTAAACCCTAAACCCTAAACCCTAAACCCTAAACCCTAAACGAACGCTGGGGGCCACCCCGCACAAAGCAAACCCCGCCAGAACCGCAATAAACGCTAATAAACCCTAAACCCTAACAAACCTCTAAACCCTAATAAACCCTAAACCCTAACAAACCCTAATAAACCATAAAACACTGTAGTAAACCCTCAAAACCCTAATAAACCTCACTGATAAACCCTAATAAACGTCAATAAACCCTCATAAACCCTAATAAACCCTAATAAACCCTAATAAACCCTAGTATTAAACCCTAATAGTAAACCCCAATAAACCATAGTAAACCCTAGCAGTAAACCCTAACAGTAAACCCTAACAGTAAACCCTAGCAGTAAACCCTAACAGTAAACCCTAAGAGTAAACCCTAGCAGTAAACCCTAACAGTAAACCCTAATAAAGCCTCACGCCACTGCATATTTTGCGGGTAGCCAGTGTATCGTCCCCTTCACTTTTCTTCCGTCTGGGGCTGAGCCGCAGTTGAGGGTTTGCGGGTCGTAGCTGCAAATCAAAGCTTTTATCTTGCCTTCAGAATCCTTCTCCACCTGCACACGCCCAAACCCTAAACCCTAAACCCTAAACCCTAGATACGCGCGCTAGAAGCCGGCCTGCACTGGCTGAAGGGACCCTAAACCCTAATAAACCCCAACAAAACCTGCATAAACCCTAATAAACCCTAATAAACCCTAATAAACCCTAGTAAACCCTAACAAATCATAATAAACCCTAATAAACCCTAGCAGACCCTAATAAATCATAATAAACCCTAAACCCTAGATGCAAGGCTGGAACTCGCGTCAGCTGCCCTAAACCCCAAACCCCCGCACCCTCAGCCCTTAACCCCAACCCCTAAACCCTAAACCCTAAACCCTAAACCCTAGGGATTAGGGTTTATTGGCGTACTTCTTCACATTTGATCCAATAAGCAGAGCGAAGACGAACTTCTTTACCCGGAGACAAACGATGAAAATCTTTGGGTGGATTTTCGCTGAAATCCTCGGACTCGATGTACAGCTCGTCGGTAAACGGCAGCTGTGCATGCAATAAATAAATAAATAAATATATAAATATATATAAATATATATATATGTATATATGTTTATTTATTTATTTGTTTTGCATCGTTATTTATGCATTCATATGTTTATATTTATGCTGTTATATTTACGCAGTTGGTGCTGCACATTTACATCACCAACATGCAAACAATCAGAAGTCTAATATAATATATGATGTGAATGTACAGTGTAATATATATATATATATATATACATATATATTGTATATTACACATAGATATACAGATAGTATTTATATATTATATACCTCTCTATGTCCTGCTGTGGGGTTTTTGGGATCGTTTGGGATCGACAGCATTTCTTCTTTTTGCAAATTTCTAATTTTGACCAGCAGCGGAGCTTTCACCGCAAAACGGCGAGGCGCTCGTTCATCTAGATACTCCCTGTGTACATACACCCCACAAACCCTAAACCCTAAACCCTAAACCCTAAACCCTTGCACCAAAAGGGATAGATACCTCACCTAATACATCTTTCTAGGAGTTCTAATTAAATAAGAAAAGATCGTCTTGCTAT